AATTGTTAGCCAAGGTACATATTTCTGCGGTGTTTTGACGATAAATTGATAACTTTTTTTTTCCTGCGAAAAACAATACTTTAACAGATTAAAAACAAAAAATACAATTTTACGAAACGTTTGCGTCCATGCTTGCCTTACGAAGGATTTCCAGTGGTCTGAAAATTAAATGTAAATTATTAAAAAAAAAAAAAGAAAAAGAAAAAAACCTGTTTAAAACAATAGTTTAATGCTATCATCGTAGTTTTTGTTTATACAGCAAGGGACTCCAAGGCCAAGCAAAAACAAATGGAGTTTGAATAGTTTTTTTATAAGGTGTTTGGGTTGCAAGGGACAATTGAGGAGGAATAATTTTTCACCATCTGTACAGCTTCTTTTGTGAGCCCTCCGCGGGTGAACTCAACTGCACATAAAGCCATAAGCCGTGGCTACTATAAACTGAGTAACACAAAAAGTAAAGCGAAGATCGAATCATTTCAATTTCTCTTGCTCTTTTGAGAGAAAATAAAAACAAAATAAGAACTGTACACCGATTACTATGTTTTGAGACTAGGAAGTGTTGAAAAGAAAGAGAACTTTCCAGTGTGTAGATTAAAGCAAATTGAAAAAATGTGAAACATTTCCCTTGCAAACCAGTAAACTTGAGTACTTCATGAATTATCAAAATCAATATTTCATAATGTTTTAATATCCTTCCTTTTTCAGTTTAATCCCGCGTATTACACTGAGAACGATCGCTGACTCTAGTATCTGTATATATAATTATCAGTTTCGTCACATTCGTCTTTTTTGCAAATCATGACTAAAGTACATTAACGTGCAAACAAACTATAAACATCTTAAGGGTAGGTGAAGATAAATTAATTTCTCTAAAGCGTCTTAGACGCGTCGACTTAGGTCTGTTTGGTGTATTCCAAGGCATACCACTCGAACATAACAGGTTAACGAAAGCGGTCCATTCTGAATAACATTTCCGTCCGTCCATAAAATTTGTAATTCGACTAAATTAGTCGGTTTTTTAGTTAGATTGATTACTTTTAGGGGAATTGATGTCAGAATAAGGAAACCTTCCGAAAAAATAGGCCTCTTTTCAAATTACTGGTCTAGACCGTTTTTACAGACTAACGTTAGTGCCCTTCAAGTATGAGATCTTCAAATCCACAAGTTTGCTTTTAGCGTTTTTAAGGGCCATATAACATATGGATGATGAGCCACACTTGCGTGCGTTATTCTGAATTCATATCGTTTTCCAACCGGTGCCTCGGAATAACAACAGTCAAAACTATAAGCGAACTTAGCTTACCCTGAAATGTTCGAAGACTTTCTCTACGGCCTTGTTGTCAAGATATTCTCAGCTGCATTACACATTACAGCCTATTCTAGATTCGGAATTAATCGTTCACTAAAACAAAATCGTCAACCGCAAATCCTTACAGACCACTGAGAAGAGCGGAAAATTCTAATTAGCGGCTGAAGGTCTACAACAATTGAATGTTAATGATACATTTACAGTCTGCTTTACACCTTCAAAGCACCATAACATATCGCTAACGAAACCCTCTTTATCACAGGTGGAATTGAGGTGAAAACTCAAATCCCTCTAGAAAAATGCTTAAGAAACAAAAGAATTTGTTCTCGAGTTTTCTGTAATCTTTAAGTTCTTTGAAAAAACCTCGAGATCAGTTTCAATTAATTGACTAGACGAAAAAGAAGAAAAAAAACAACTCCTCGATGTGAGGTAGAATTTTGCTATGTTATTTTAGCTTTTTTTCAATTAAAGCTAAACTTCCTCCTGATTTGCAGTCTGCCAATGATTTGAAGAGGAGCCATCAGTGGGCGATGCAGATTAACAAATATAAATTAATCACCAACACTGCGCTACGTTTCAAACAATGCCGCTTTGTCAAAGTCTCACTTCAATGTGTACTGCAATCAATCGCGTCCCCTGAGAGACTAAGCTACCAAACATGTTGTCTTGTTAAGGCCAGTGATAAATCTTGTAAATGTTTAATTGTTATTTTGTAAAGCTTCAGAAGACGTGAATAACAAACCTTCAGGTTTGAGTTCGCTATTTATGCTCATAAATTCGGTAAAGAAACAAACAAGTAGTAGATTTTTTTTACTCCTGACTCCAGCAGGAAAGTTTCGGCAAGAAAGGAGTTCATTTAGTTGCCATTGTTACTCTCGAATTATTCTAAGTTTGTTGTTAGTCGCTACTCGCACGCACGAGTTACCCCAGTATTTATGTCGTTCGATTTACTTTGATTTAGCAGCAAACATTTCGTAAACCTCACTGCGAAGACGGAAGTTGAGTCTTGGAGTGGAGTCACAGTATTTTTAGAGTAAAACTGTTTTGTCAATCTGCTATTCAATTATAAATTTTGGAGTTTGCTTCGAGTAAAAGTTAAGAGTTAGTAGCGTGCGACTGTACTGACGAACTTAACTTTTATTGCGCAGTTAAAGTTTTGGTCGTCTAGTTGATAAAAGTGCAGGGGTATGTCATGTCTGTCCAAAGTAAACCGGTGTCACAGCGGATTTGGACCCCCCGCGCATTTGGACCCCCCACTAAACATTCCTTTTTCGTAACTTTTTCCAACGGCAAGCTTTTAGGCGATGTCCGTTATAATTTCAACACAAGGTTGCGTACTATAATTGACCAAGAAAAGCGCACATATCGTTTCATTTCTGACACATTTATTTAAGTTAGTAGAATAGCCTACGCATGAATTAAATGACAACAAACTATTGGATTCGAACTATTGAAACTCATAACAAATCCTTTCTTATTCTGATGCGAAGCAACATTAGTACGAAAATATTTGGTCGCAATACAATCCGGAAGAACAAGAATGAAACTAGCATTACTTTACTTCGTTACGTCATAATAGTGAAAACTACTTCGTCGCAGTATAATGCGGAACAAGAACGAAACTAATACTCTTACTACTCTTACTTTACTCTTTTACAATATGTCAAAACGTTTCTATTGTGAACTGTTGGAACTCAGCTTACTTATAAATGCAAATCAACATCAATATCTTAACAAACACTCGCATTTTCTAATTTTTACGATCATTTAACATTTTCTAGCGTTCTTAAGTCATTCGTTAAGTCTGCAATACTCTGGACTATTCAAGTGACGCCTACATTTAACAATAACGAACGCGTTTCGACTTTGGTGGTCTGCAAACACTACAGAGCCACTCACCCTCCGGGGGTGAGTGGCTCTGTAGGGAGTGACTCCCTCGCAGGTCATGTGTAGCCATTTCTCAGACAACTCGCACTGCAGCATGTCGTCCCAGCATTCGGGCATCGAGCAATAACAAAATAGATCAATGTCACATGTTTGTCTCTTATTGAATCTAACAGTGTTCAACTGTCTTGAAAAAGCTTCTAAACGTCCTTTCTCTAAGCACTGAACTAAATGTTGGCGCATTTTTCCTTGATCGAAGGAAACGTCCGACCGGTCATTCCCATCCGCTAGTTCGTTCGCAAATGCAATGGTATATAAGCCACAGTCCACTCCTCCTTGCTGTGTTTGAGCAGGCGGCAGTTCCACAGCAAGGGTCCTGTCCGTGGCCAAGGTCTGGTAGCACTCAGCCAGTTGTATTTCCATCGATGACGCAATGTTTTTTTAATGTTTTAATAAAGAAGTAAATTGTTCAACCGTTTAAAACCAAAGTAGCGGGAGCAACGCATATCAGTTGTGGAACACGGACAGCGAATTCCCCATTTTTTCGAACCTTTTGTGAAATAAAGCTTTTTTTTGAAAAATTGCGTTGACTAAAGGCTTTTGGTTGGAGTTATCGGAAGTTTCGAAAAGTCGAGAATCGAGCAATCGGTATTTCACAGAAGCAAAACAAACAATAATTGAAGCTTTGACGCATTCAACGGTTTTTATCATTTTATATTTCACACTTTTTCAAGACAACTGACAAAACAAACAAACAATGTCAAAATTTACGTTTCGTTTTCATTCCAGAGGTAAACAACAAACTTACAGCTGCAGGTTAATTTAACGAAAATCTTAAATTGAGACGCTATGCTGAGAAAAAGTTAACGTCTACGCATATGTTTTAAAATAAAAATCTGCTTTATAAACCTACTTTCTGAAAAAACATTCCGTTGAAAGCCTACTTTCTGAATTATTATTATTTCTCTTAGAAAATTATGTATGGTCATGTTTTTACTCAGTTTTGTTAAAGGGGTCCAAATCCACGGAGGGGGGTAAAAACCTGCAAGCGGATATGGACTCTGGGGGTCCTAGAGGATATGGACCGGGGGGTCTATATCCGCTAGCGGATTTGGACCGGGGGTCCAATTCTAGGGGTGTCCAAATCCGCCAGGACACCGGATTGTCGCTGGAAATGGTGTACCTTCTAAAGCATTAAATTACTTAATCAATAGGTGTCATCGAGCGAGTCAAGACGGAGAAAATAACCCCATATTCTGAACTCGTGCTGAATAGCCGAGGGCTGTTTCATGCACATCGAACTAATCAACGGTATAACCGCAAACAAAAATGATGAGGGATGAGAAACGTCTGCCGTAGTTGAAGCAATTTACTTGAAAGACTCGGAACCTCAAAGAACCACATGAAGAATCAACTTGAATTAGCTTTATATTTCCAACTGTATGATCTCTGCTGGGAATTGGCATCTATGGGTTTCGATGTGTTTTTCCTTAAGCGGCTGCCGATGATGAAATTGCCGGCTATGCCGGCGAAACCATAACAGGAGAGGTCGCTTAGCTTGCCTGCGGTATAATCAGACGACGGTAAAATGCCTTATAGGTGGCAGTAGACAGCCGGTCACACCCGCTGTTATTGAGCGCCTGGCATTTACCCGTATCGTTTTGCGCTTTAGGCTGAAAATTGTTTGACAGTTGTAAGGTAACACTAATGAATAGGTACTGCTAGCTTGCCTTTGGCTGATTTTTTTCTGTTTCTCAGGTAACAGGATTGTTACTCTGTCGTTCAACGTTCAGTGAAAAGTTCTTACCTGATGGTTTGTCGACGGGTGAAGAGTCGTTTACTTCACAATAGACTTCTTGTGATCTGATCCTCCTTTTTTGCAGCCCTACAAGCGTAAGGGGGAGACAAAATTAAAAGTTGACATGTGACTGGGCTGCGACTGGGCTTATACCACGCATACGGAACTACCAGTCTCGTCCCAGCCTCTCGTCAACTCAAGATCCTCTTCTCAAACCTCTCTTTTCTCTTTAACTATTTACAGTTATTTCTCATTTGAGTTCCATTTGAGAGATAACCATTAAGCAAACATCTAGACAAACCATGAAACGCAGCTCATAGATAAGTCATTTCTAAGAACCTGAGGTAGTTTTGAATTTCTTTTTAGCGGCGAATGGATCAGTCAATCCTATTTGTCGCGGTCTATGTATTTACCACAAAAGCGAATCTTAACCGTAAAACATTTGAGGTCTTTTGTCCGAAAAATTTGAATCTTGAAAGGCGATTACATAGTAATTTCAAGAAACATAGCAAGGTGAAGGTGTATGGACGATGGTGAAACTGCTTGCGAGTGCAACAATCCGTTGCTTCCAGGTACTAAAATCAAGTGCAGCACCTGCATGCAAATCAAAAGTATTACATGTAATTATGCAATTAAATAACCAAGTCTGTTTCAGAAATATTAAGTGATTTTAAAGGCATAGTTCCATATATCTTTGATCATACCCGAAACACCATCAAATGCTTCAGTCAAATACGCTCGAATTTGTGCTTTTATGCAGCCTAAGGAGTGACTGGCATCTAATTTCTCCATACATTATCACAATACTGAATTAAACACTTAGATAATGAGAAAACAGGAAATGACTGCTCACTCAAGAGATTTTGATCGTAAAACAAATTATGTTCTCCGTGTCGACATCTTAAGAAATGTTTAGAGGTCAGTATGGGAAATATGTGTGCCAATGTTAAGCCCTTTCTCTGCCATGACTGGCCAAGGCAGAATTTCCTATCAAGCAGACGTAGGACGAGAATGAAGACAAATATCCACAAGGGGTTGATCCGATACCAAACTCTCTGGACTAACATAAGGAGAATTGTACTACAGACAGTAAAGAGAATTACTAACGAGATTTCGGGAGTGAAAGGGTTAAGGCCGGCGGAAAGGGTTAAATGGTCTGGTTGCATTGCTTTTCAGGAAGACAGAGAAATGTTTAGAAGGCATTTTGTTGTGGTAACCGATTTTTTTTCTTTTTTTTTGGTAGAAAAAAAAACCTAGGCTTAAGTTGACCCCGATGATAAGAAATACCAAGAACGAACCCAACCTAGGATAATTTATTCTACACATGCATTTGCGGTGTGAACTTGTCTCATTTACATTTTTTATGTCAAAATGTAAGAGAATTTTATTAATTAACCATATAAATGAATTATGTAGTGGTAGCGTGGAGGAGTGCGTGATAAAGTGAAAAACAACAATTTGGCGTGGGCAACCAGACAAACACAATAAGAACGTTCCAGGCTAAAAATAAGATACTGAAGAAAAACATTGGAGTAGCCAATTTCCGTCGTTTCCGTCTCGACCGCAAAATTAGACTTAATTTGAAAATATCGAGAGTAGTGATTTCAGTCTTTTAGTGGTGTTATTCATTTTCAGCAAGTCTGAATGTATCAAAACAGGATGTAAATACAATATATTGGTAATCAAATTCCACGTCCACAGCTGAAAAAAAAAACAAACAAAAAGAAAAGAAACAAGTTTGAATATTATGTTGCTTTGAATCTCCACGGGTGTCCACAGCACAAAATTGATTTCCAATCGCTTATTCTTTTCATCAAGACAATTAAATTCTGTTTGTATCATCGTTTCAGCCCTGGAAAATGTGCTCGATATTTCTTTTTTTTTTCCATGCTTTCGTTTAAAAAAAAAGGCTACTCTCAAAGGTGTTGGTCTATTAAATGTTGAATACGTGTACTGTGGTTAGGAACTTGACATCAGATGTGTAGTAATTTGGGATTACGCAGCGAAATGAAAAGTCGGTCGAGAAATTTCTGCCAAGCCTTTTAAGAGGCCGGTAGGTTTTCGGTCTGTTGCTTTACGGCTTACTGATCCGCGATGTGGTTTAATAAGACTTACCAGGCAGCTTCCTATCTGGTGTTGATTGTATCAGAATGTCTTATTCCAGCTGGGTCGACATAACAAAAACCGTAGGATAGCCTGCCTTGTTCAGTACGCCCGATTCCTGTCAAGCTCTTGAATAGCAAGTTATTGTTTCTCCTGAGCTAGTAACTTATATTTGTTACCAGGTGATTTAAAACAGATCGATCACTTCCACAAATTTTCATTCTTCTTCATAACCAATTTTTTCACTCCACTCGTCAAGGATGCGAAGGTTTACAAGCTCTAATATTTCAATGCTTGCGCAGTTCAGACTATATGATTTGCAATTGTTGATGAATTCGCGCATCGCCGCTAAATTTCGAAATCACGCACGGGTCTGGGCATAAATTTCATCTTACTACAAACAGTCCCTTCATTGGTTGCGAAGACGGTGGAAAGTAACACACTAGTGGATACCGGTGCCTGCTCAATCCACTCCGGGATCAAATTCTGTACTCACCTTTGAGTCTGTTCCCCAGTTATGCAACAGAGACTGTCCCTATCCAACTCCTTTTGACACTTGAACACTTCACTTCTCTGAGCTCTTCTGAAGAACGCTGTTGAGTCCAACAGGAAAGACTGTAAATATGGATCGACGTTGTCTAGCAGATTCGATGGCGTGCAAAAATTAACTTTCGTCCTGCTTAATTGGCGGCATTTAGATCACAGCAGGAATGAGATTATTTCCTACCCTATTCAGTCATGTACTGTTCTTAGCGGTCAATAGTCGATTGGGTAGCTTTCAACCAGCACATGCCCAAATTTTTTGTGAGTCATGGTTTTTCTTGGGTTTTCAAGCGGCTCAAAGAGGCTCATTAACTGTACAATTGTTGGCGATTTGTACTCTACAGGCTGCTTAAGTTCTACAACGGTTGCCGAGCAGAATAGCTTAACAGTGTGGTCCACTTTTGTGTACGGTCATTCTTGCGTGATACATCTTAATATCTATGGCTAATGCTGCCCTTCGGGGTGGATACTAAACGGTTTCGCTGCCTAATTCCCCGCCTGCTAAACGAAACAAACCAATCAAAGGCTGTAGTCATGTGTCTGTTTGTGAAGTGGCCCTAGTAGTAAATGGGTTTCCTACTGATAGATTTTCTGTGGAGGGATTAGACCATGACCTTGCCTTCACTTAGAATGAATCAACTCATCCGCATTGAAAACGCCTGCAGCCACTTTATAACTGAATAAAACTCAAGAATACCGACAATATTTTGACAGAAGCTTATACAAAACTTCAGAGCTTGCCTTTTACACAAGATAAACATGTTTTAAATTATTTCACTTGTAACTTTGAAGGTTCTCCTGAAACTGACTCTCCCTACATCGACAATGCGGATAGAAGTACCACTGCTGAGCTCTCACGTAAAACAAGCGCTTTCACAATCTTTGTTTAAGAACTGATCTTGTATTTAAATTAAAGTACGTCTAAGTTGTCTAAATGCCCGAAGGATAGTTTCTGATACACAGATAGCGTATTAGAAAATTAATGATACATCGCCAGTTACTCTCTCTTATTAGCTTTGTGGCCACAATGTCTCCACGTGCAATCCCTTGCATTTAAACATATTACGCCCAGACAATCAGAAGTGACAAATTTTGGACAAAGTGCATCAGGATGGTTTTTGTGGGTTGTTATCTAAAAGTAAAAGGAAATTTTTTTTTACCTAAAATGTAGGGTCACACTGAGCTTTTAGCAGAGATTTTAGCAGCTCTCATCACCCAAGTGCAATGCCTCAGGGAAGGGCATCTTTAGTTTTGAAAATAACTTTTTTTTTCATTCATACAAGAAAGTGAAGAAGAACATAAAAGTAGAAAGGTGTTTTGGTGCATAAAATTATGTTGCAAACGAGCAAATGAATATCTACCCTCTGTTTAAAAAATATGTATTTACGATCCTTCTTTCGTGAAGCCAGCAGGATTCTTATGTCGCAAAGTAAACCTAGTAAATTTCAATTAAAGCGAATTCAAAAGGTGGGAACGATCATTTCAAATCAATTACATTTGTTAATTGCAGCGAAATATTTAAGAACATCGTGTGCGTCTGAAAACATAGACTACTATAACAAAAAAGGGAAATTTGCGACAGAGATTTAGAAACCTCGTGAAAATCACTCAATTTTTTTCAGTATTCACAAGGCGCTGATAATATCTATCTTGCACACACACACACACACATACACACACACACACACACACACACACACACACAAAAGGACCAGAGCCTAGTAGCAGGAAAAAAAAATTATCAAACTGAGTCTATCACACTGATCTGATCACAAACATGCTTGGCTTTGCTAATGTATTTCGAGTCTGTAGGGAAGTAGGGAGGGGGGGTAAATAGGGGTATGCATATTCGTCGATCAACCTCGTCAGGCGTCACTAAACCTTACTTTATTTCTTTCAGATATGCACAGCTGTTTTTTTATCAATTTTCCGTGATATAAACTAACCGCGTTTGAATGCGCATGCGCTTTTTTACTTCTACGAAATTTATATTTTACTCAAAGTTTTTCTTGGCCTTATGCACTGGCACTGAGAAAGTAGCTTAATTCATCATAGTAGAAGGTAATTTGGTTATATCAACTAAGTTGAGATTGTAAATTGGCCACCGTAAATTACAGAGTTAAAAAGCTGACGTTTCGAGCGTTAGCCCTTCGTTAGAGCGAATGAAAGAATTGTGGGTTATGTGTGGGTTTAAAGGCAGAAAGTGGAGCTACGCTATTGGTGGGAACATGGTCACGAGAAAAACACAAAGAAATTAGTAGAATGAAAAGCGTCCGTTGATACCTGTGGGGTTAAGAGTGCCGATTTGAAAGATAAACTTTTGTTCAAGAGTTTTGGAGTTTTCCGAACTACCTAGATGTAAGGAAAGGCCGCAGATTGTCATTTGCTGCTTAGAATGACTAGGTAGATTTAAGTGTCTAGCGACTGGTTTTGATGCGTCCTTGTCATTCCTTTCTTCGACGCGAAAGTGTTCTCGGAATCGGTCACCTAGTCGGCTTCCTGTTTCGCCGATGTATATCTTTTTCAGTGTAGTAAAGTGCAAGTTATGCAATAGATGGCGTTTGCGGAGGTGCACGTGAACTGATCAGTGATCTTAATGGATCGTTTGGGTACCGATATTTTCTCAGCATTGTGAAGGAAAGGACAAGTTTTGCATCGTGCGCGAGCGCGAGTGCCGGGTTATTAGTTTGGAATAAACTTCTGACCAAAAAATTGCTTATTTTTTTGTCGCGTTTGCACCTTGTTTCTGTCGTTCAAGCGGGTCCCCACCGCGCCCAACTTATTGATCGACAGTTAGCACTACTTAACGTCACAGAAGGAAAATTCTAACCGCATTCCATTCCCCCTCGCATTTCACTCTCACAACCACTCAGTTAAAGCCATTATTCTTGATGACTTTAAATTACTTTAAAACGATCCAGAGACTGGCACTATCTTTTCGCAACTTCCATTCATTTCATACCCACGTTTTTCAAAAAACTGGAACATTGACTCTGATTTATGGAAAAAATCAGTCTCATCACTACATAAACGTCTACTTCGTTGTTAAGATTACTGATCACTTCACGTGCACCTCCGCCAACGTCATCTATTGCATAACTTGCACTTATTGCTAAAAGGTATACATCGGCCAAACAGAAAGACGACTAAGTGACCGATTCCGAGATGAACACCTTTGCGACGTAGAAAGGGATGACAAGGACTCATCAAAACCAGTCGCTGGATACTTTAATCTACCTAACCATTCTAAGCAGCATATGGCAATCTGCGGTCTTTCCTTACATTTAGGTAGCTCGGAAAGCCACAAAACTCTAGAAAAAAAGTTTATCTTTCAAATCGGCACTCTTAGCCCCATAGTTATCAACGAACGCTTTTCATTCTTCTAATTTACCCGCGTTTTTCTCGTCACTATGTTCCCACCAATAGCGTAGCTCCACTTTCTGCATATAAACCCCACACAACCCACAATTCCTCCATCCGCTCTGACGAAAGGCTAACGCTCGAGACGTCAGCTTTTTAACTCTTCACGGTGGCTAATTTACAATTTCAATTTAGTTGATATAACCAAATTACCTTGTTACCCCCACCGACGCAGCACCACAGTTTCTTTAGAAACTTACCCCCTTCATCATATCATAACTTTGTTTAAATGCCGAAAACGTAAATTTTTCACTACAGCTGTCAAGGCCGGTCGAGTACTGTCACTAAACCGATCGATTCAGTAAATACCATTTAATTACATCAATTGTGTAAGCTTCGCAAGGGAGCGCCGGCTACATTTTGTAATAACTGCTGGCATGCGTAACAAGATTTCCTTGAGGTCTTTTAATCGGGGGTAACCGAGAACGCTTGAACTGCCAAAAAATTCGTTATAAATTCAAATCCCTCGCTCCTATTTTTTCCGAAAGTTGACTACAAGTAAATCAAAAGTCTCGCGCGAAACATTACGTGAAAGATCGAAACTCTAAGGAAACGGAAGCAGCTGCGGCTTATTCTACGTCAGCGGTTACCTGTAGAATTTTTTGCTCGCCGCGGCCGCTTGTCAAACATGGCGGGAAACCCAATCTTATAAACACGTAAAATTGAAACTGAAAGGAAAAAAAAAAAATCCATCACCTCCCAAAATGTTACCTTTCGTTACGACATGACCGTACCTTAGTTTTATTTCCAGTATCAAAATCGAATGAAGATGCCTCAAAAGTGACTGAAAGAGTTTCTCTTACTGCCCCAAAGGGATGGCTTGACAACCAGAAGTCTAGTTGTCCAAACAAAACCTAGCCTGCGAACAGGCTCCTGGCTTGGAGGAGCACAACGGCGCGCCGTTGTGCTCCTCCAAGCCGGGAGCCTGTTCGCAGGCTAAACTGAAAACCGAAGGGACACTAAGAGATCATGTTGAAAGATAAAAATTGCCTTACCGTCCGAGGCTTCCTTATCAAGTGTATGAGACCTAGTTGCGTTTGTTCAAAACATAAGCGACCTAATGGCAAGTTTTCCCGTTTGTTTCTTTTGACGACGAATCATTAACATCGGCTGAAACATTAATTACGAATCAAATTACCAGCTCAGATAGCAATATCGAAAAGAGGAGAATTTGATAAACGAAAATTTATCCCATTCGCGCTTGATGGATGTCTAGCACGTTCCAGAGGGATCCTTCTTGTAAAACCTGCGGTTGTGAAACTCTCACCAAGAGGAATAATCCGGGAACAACTCTTCTTTTCACAGAACAACTCATCACGGAGAGTTGGTCTCTACGTATGGCGTTCCATTTCCGCCAAAATTCAATGTTCTATTTTACATCGTACTTTCCACAATATTTTTTACATTTTGCGTTTGTCATTCGAGTTTGCACTGGCGATTCAACTTTTTTGCATTCAACATTAAACTTTTGTTTATGCAAAAAAATATTGAAAAATATTCAAAATTAATGATCAATCAGACAGAACCTTCTGAACCGCCAAAAATCTCTGACATAATAATTACGCACCTATACGGGTGATTTACTCTGAGTAAAAAAAAAAAAAACTAGAAAAATAAACAAACATAAGAGTATTGTAAGCAAAAGCTCTAGGAAAAATATTTAATTCTACGATCGATGCCTTCCAACGTACAGCGCGCATGAAGTTATCAAGATGGAGCTGACGTACACGTACTTGCGTCAGCGTGCGAACAAACTAACTTCTTCATACTTAACAAAGGTTGCCCGATTCTTACTTGGAGGTGGTGTTTCTTCCAGAGAAGAAAGACGCTCAGCTACCCTCAAAAGGGTGGCTCTCACCTCGCCTAAACTAGCAGATTGTGCGGCAGCATCGATATCTTGCCAACCGGCGGCCATGACGTCCCTCGACGGCTAGGAAGTGGAGAAAGGTCTCCCGAGTCCACTCAACTACGAATTTTCTCGTCCCTATCGTCCACCTTTTGAGCAGGGTTAGTTCAGGGTGATTGCGCCCACGGTCTCCTTCGACCACTGACCAGCGGGTAAAAGTCCAATTCGAAAAGTTGAAAATCGAACGCGAAAACTTGCAAGTACAATGCCCAAAGTCGGAGGTCGGAAGCCAAAACTTAAAGGACAAATGCTAAATGTTGGATGCGAAAACATGAATGTGGATTCCACTGAACTTGAGAGTCGAATTCGAAAACTACACTGTTGGCTCTAAAAAGTTGAATGTCGAGAGCGATAACATAAATGTTGCATAAATAAAAGTTTCATGTTGAATGCAAAAAATTTGAATCGCTAATGCAAACTCGAATGAGAAACGCAAAATGTAAAAAATATTGTGAAAAGTACGATGTAAAATAGAACATTGAATTTTGGCGGAAATGGAACGCCATATCTACGCACGTGGAAATATTTACGAGGGAAAAAAAATGTTTTCTTGTGTTCGCAGTTGTTTCTACTTGAAATTTTTTCGTGTAAACCTGCTCTAGGGAATGAATATCATTGAAGAAAGTCAGATAAATGGTACATAAAGAGGAATAAAAAATGAATTCTTTTGTTTTTCGTTTAGACACTAAGTGAGGCACTGTGTCACTAAGTTGACTCAAAAGGCCATTTTGGCTTGATTTTCAGGTAAACTTGAAGTTGACGCGCTATCCGGAATGTTACATCCAAGCGAGTCAAAATAAATAAAAATACAAAGCATATCATAGTACTATAAAAACAATGCAATCGAGGTCAAGTTCTAAATACTCTAAACCATTGCGTTACACTAACCAAGAATGCAAATTTAGTACGCAGTCATCCGCTGACCACATAGACATTCCAGCTTCTAATAGATGGCATAATGGTAGAACTACTGTGACTAAGCGACGGACACTGAAACTGTGATCACGATGTTGTGCAGGGGAGACTTATCTTCGTACAAGCAGGATAGTATCTGGTCGTGGTTTATTTGTTTCTGCACGACGATATGCATGGTGCTTTCGGTTGGATTTACGTTCGCTCTTGGTGTTCTCTTTCCAGTTTTAATGAATTATTTTGACGAAAACCGAGAGAAAACAGGTGAGTTTGTTCTGTATTGAATCAGTCAGGAATTTCCCACTCAGTTTGCATCGTATTAGCAAGTAGTTTGGATTTTTCCGAAGAAATGCGGGCTTACAAGTTTTTCTCAGTCAATAGCGCTTGTTTTACGTGAGGACAAGGAAATTCTGATCTATTACGTGGTACTTTCGAAATACGATTATTCACTGTCTTGTTATGACACAAAGCGTAAGTCCACTAATCATTAATGTTTACTCATAGGTTTGATATCGTTGTTGCTAAGTCCATTATCTTAAACACAGAACAACGAAAACTCGACTGTAATCATGCAGTTCTTGTAATTCTAAATTTTCCCTTTGTTTACTGAATCACGAGATATCTTTTCACGAGTTGAAAGCCGTCATATCCGTCACGCATCGATTCTCCCCACGCGTCACGATATCAAACACAATAACGCATGTTCCCAGCTACTTTTAGTAGGGCTTCCCTCTCCTTGGCTGAGCTAATAATGCAGGAGACAGGCCTTACTCGGGCGGGTTTCATCGTCCTGGACCAGAATTTTTTAACCTACCGATGGAATCAGCCATTTCCGAGTTTTATTTGCTTGAGATTAACACTCTTCTTTTCATATCCCAACCTTCGCACTAACCCTCGTTTTGCCACAGAAACATCGAGTATCTTGGAAATGGTTTCTTTTAGTCCCCATGTTTAGGAATCAAGTTTTCGATATGAACGTTTCTTTAAACAACTGCTTTATTATGTACATCCCAAATGTTCTGGAACAGTTAATTCTTTGGATATAAATTTGGAAAATCAATGCCACATTACGATGAGTAATAACTTAACAGCTAGAATAACTTTCTTTTCTCCGCAGCATGGGTCTCATCTATCATAATAGGCGTATTTTGTTTCCTTGGTCCTATTTCGAGTTCAATCCTGAACAGATTTGGTATGCGGGTCACTACGATTTTGGGTTGTTTGTCGTGTGCAGTTGGCCTTGCACTGGGTTCATTTACTCCAAACATCATTATCCTCTACGTTGCCTTTAGCTTGCCTTTTGCTATTGGGGTATCGGCCATCTACGTGGTTTCACCAATCATTGTATTTCAATACTTCATCCAGAGACGATCGTTTGCTCTTGGAATCGTCACTGCTGGGCAAGGATTGGGAACAATGATTCTTGGACCAGCTCTTCAAGCTTTAGTTGATATCTTTGGTTGGAAGAACTCTTTCCGCTTATTTGCCGGTATTTTAGCTTTTGCATCACTTACTGGAGTCATCCTTCACAGAAAAAGTACTCGTTTAGAGACTGATGAACGACAAGAAGCCCGTAGAAAGAAACCTCCGCGAAACCTTTCGTTGTTAAGGGATCCTATCATCTTCATGATAGTGCTGAGAAATGGACTTACCACATTTGCTCGTCTGGTGCCGTACGTACACATAGTAGGTATCTCACCTCCAGGCCCACATATAACCGTTTTTGATTTGGTGTACAAAGCCAACCCTTTGATTGGTGTACTCTGAATCCCCACGGTATTAATGAATGCTTTTCATTCAACAAATTTATTCTTACAAGTGTTTTTTCCGTTACCATGCTCACAACGATAGCTACCTCCATCTATCTGTATATAAACCACACACAACCCTTTTAAAATTCCTTTATTCGCTCTGACGAAGGGCGAACACTTGAAAAGTCAGCTTTTCAATCTCTCTACAGTAGCTAATTTCCATATGATTTAAGGGGTGAAAGGAAATTACAGTTACCAGTGGTGAAGAATGTCGGACATTCTAGCCGCTTTTAAACGTGCCATTAGGAGTTATATATCGAGTGGGGATTAGTATATAATTATTAGCATTTTATATGAGGTTTTATATGAGTCTTTCGATTTTAAACTTCTTGTCATTTGTTTTGTTGTTGTATGTTCGGAGATACTAGCACATCTAGTGCTATTCATAAATCCAAATGGAAATAAAGTTTATGTATGTATGTATGTATGTATGTATGTATGTATGTATGTATGTATGTATGTATGTGTGTATGTATGTGTGTGTGTGTGTGTGTGTGTGTGTATGTGTGTGTGTGTNGCGAAATTTGCAAGAGGGTATCGCTCTTCATACATTCCTCATACAACACACCTAGTCGGCATATTTCGGAAAATATCGACGACAACCTTCCCAAACAAGTGAAAATGTGTGAAATGCAGACTTTCGTGTTCTCGATTTGACGTCACATTACCCGCTAGAGCCATTCCTCTTTAAACTCGGTCGTGGGACAAGATGGCGGCCGATTCTCCGTATTTTGACCGGGCACAGAAAATTAAAGATTGGAGCAAATTAAAAAATTTTTGCACAGAAATACTCCAAAAAATAAGCTTATTTCGTTAAGTGAAAAAAATATATACTTGGGTTTAGATGCACTTTAACTATCATTGTCTTATTAATCTCCTCTAATTCCCCCCTCCTCCCCGCTCCTGTTCCCCGCTTGTATCTGTGAATTGGATATATGTTTATCCTTTCGGAAGAGACGTCGACCTAGCAGATTTTTGAACAAACACTGAGGTTACTGAATAACAGTTAAGTTTTGTGTTTTACGTTGTCAAACTACAAAGGAAAGAAAATATATACGATACAATACTTTACAGATACAACTAACTACAGGAATTGCGAAAGATACAAGAAAATCACCAAAACTACTTACAATTCTGGTTGCCTTCTCTTCTTACTTTTTGAAGCGATTAATTCGATCACATTAGCCCATCTTCTTTTCGGATATGCGCTGAACTATAACCTTTCGTAACTATCGATATTTTGTTGTCAATATTCCAGGGTTCATGGCAGATAAGTTTGGCAACTACTTTGCTGCGTTCCTTATGGCTGGTGGAGTGGCGATTGTAGCCAGTCTCGTCCCATTTCTTCTTGTTTGTGTTAAACAAGATCAAAAGGAGAACTTTGATGATGATGTTGAAGAGACAGTACACCCAGGTCAGATAGAGGATGCGGACAACACCGAACTGAAGTCCAGAGGTTTCTCTCATGACTCCGCGATATCTGTAATTGGTAGAGATCGTCTAAGAAGGTCTTCCTCATTCGCTTTAGCCTTGGATAGTCCTATCTTTTAGTGAAGAACATTTTACTTTTTTGTCATAAAAGGTATATTAAAATGTGTTTTATATTTTCAAATTATATTCCCTATTAAGAGTTAAGCAGTAGTAGTGCTGAAACGAAAACGAAAATGTACTGTTTGCAAGGTCTGGGAAAAACTCGTGCAAAAACGCTTACACAACTGCTACACAAAGGAAATCACATTCTTGTCTGATTACAGCTGCATTCCTTTGAGATTTTCTAGAGGCTTTGGTTCTCACAATGAAGACTTTCCACAACCTTTTCAGCAACTTGGTAAGTAACAAGGTAATAAAATTGTGCGGTAGCTAAAAGATGCAAGAGGCCACCGAAGACAAGCGAGTACAAAAGTGATCCATTCATACATATACCTACATATATTTGATTATTACTTTGAATACAAATTTACCCGTTTTCATACGCCCACAGGTAGCTTGACTGCAAACAAACGTTTAATTTGAATAGGTTACATTGCCGAAAAAAATGCACTGCAATAATGTTCCGTCCCTCGAATGACTGACAGGTCTAGCTAGCCATGAAGCGTACAGCTTCGTTGAACGAGGTACTTCTACGTTTGTTCCTCTTGAAATTATCTTTTTCCGCTGCATCATGTGTTTGAACTTTTGAATTGCTTTACTCTAAAGTAAAGAAAGCTTATGAATTAATTGGAAGGTTTATAGGAAAAATGACAGGCAAAAGAACAGAAAAAATATTTCTTTTAGAGGAAGCTACATACAGAAAATGTAAAGATCGTTTATTTTATACTTGAGCAATATTTATTGACTAAAGAAATATTTATTGTGAGTTGAATAAAAGGTTTCTGAGATATTCGTGCTCAAGTATGCTTTGGCTCCACTAAACGACTCGACAGAGACCATCCAGCTAACTGAAGGGAAATTATGTCATTTCACAAATTATGTAATGGCATATTCCTTGTACGATGGGGATCCTTTCGTAATACAAGGCCAAATTATTGCCATCCTTCCATGTTTGCGGGACATCAATTGCGATGTTTGACGAGTTAGGCAAACAATTAGACAGGTGTGATGGTCCATATCGAATGATTGCACAGTTTGGTAAAACTGGGTCACCCAGGAAACAAACTTTAAAATCGTTTTGTTTATATAGGCGCGACGCCCTTGATTTAATTGCATCTTGGTCTGTAGCAAAAGTGTCCTAAAATTTTCGAAAAGCGCCTTACCAAGTGCTTCAGATAATTGAAGTGCAGATTTAATTTTTGGATTTTTTTAGGTATATAAAAAGATATTTTGAAGTTAATAAGGTACTATCGTCCCTTCTGGTTCAGTGAGGGGTTATCGTTTGAGAAGTGAATTTATTTATTTATTTAATCACTTTCACCAGAGTGTGGTGAGGGACGCACAACAGAGCGAGGCTCCAAATTAAGTGCACCCTATATCCCACCCATCCCCCCCCCCAGGGGAGGACATCCATCACACAGTCATCTCGTGTGTGGGAAATTAACGTCTCCTACCCCTAACCCTGCAGGAGACGGGACCACCATTCATTCGTCCCTATCCGAAAATACATGTCATGATTTCGGTTCTCTTCCTGCAAGACTCTTGGGATAATATCTAATCTTCCCCCCTGCACTGAGCAGTTTACGCGCTGTTTTCGGCAAAAATATCCAAATGCAGAGAGAACATTAAAGACGATTCAGGAAATGACGGGTGACAAAATTACAACTAGGAATTACTCAAGTCTAAAAATGGAGCTCTATACAAGCTTTAATCCATTCGCACTTGCTTCTACTTTCGTTGTGTGCATAAAACTACCCTTAGAACTGAATATATATTGAAAGAGAGTCGGCTAAATCGAGCACAGAGAGGAACAATAAAGAAATTATTTAGTTTTTCCTTTCGGTTCCTTGTTCAGCTGCTTAACTACTGTAGCATCTAAGCCAGAGACCGGAATTTAAAATCCCAGGCATCAAAGATAAATAAAATGCAGAGAATAAAAACTTAGCATCAAAGACAGCCAAGTTTCCTAGATGCTCTAGGCATTGCTTTACGATACGCTAGGATGCAAATTTGATATGCACCTATCCGCTGACCATTTATCAAGAGAAGACTTCATGCAATAACACTCCACTAATTCTGCGACATACTCGAAACATACACTGCAACTGAGATCATGGAACTGTGCCGCGGAGACTTATCTTCGTACAAGCAGGATAGTATCTGATCGTGGTTTATTTGTTTCTGTACGGCAATATGCATGATCTTTTCAGTTGGATTCACCTTTGCTCTTGGCGTTCTCTTTCCAGTTCTTATGACCTATTTTGACGAAAACCGTGAGAAGACGGACGAGTGTTTTAACCTGTTAAACCAGTCATAATTTTACAACCCGACTGGTATCGCATTAGCAGGGAATTTCGATGTGTCCGAAGGTATCCTGGTTTGTATGTTTTTTCTTTGGTTGATGCAATCATCCGAAATTGTCATTTCTCTGCAGCTGAGGAAGGATGATGAGGAATGACAAGAATTACCTTTTATGAGTATTAACTCTTAAGGGAATTTTACTTTGCGTCTTTCGGCTCAAAAATCAAATTAAGGGTGCTTAAGACCACTGTACAGTTTTAGGAATGACAATGCCTAGCCTGCGAACAGGCTCACGGCTTGAAGGAGCACAACGGCGAGAAGCATGACCTTGTATACAAAGCAAAAGTTGCATTTACATGTAAGAGAATGTCCGCTCACTAGTGTTCCAATATTCAGTTGCCTTTTACTGAAGTCCACTTTATTCAACGCTGAACGACGAAAACTCGACCATGATAAATCACAGCAACGGTTTATTCGTCCTTATCCGAGAAGACTAGAATATCTATCCATTTCTTGATATAATAGAAAGATAGCAAATTCTCCTCAGTTATTTTAAGACCCTGAGTGGTGGTGCGGCCGGGGCTTGAACCCTCGACCTCCCGCACAACAGTCCGGCGCTCTACCAATTGAGCTAACCAGGAGGTGGTTGGTGTACCGAGCCAATCCTATAGAATATATATTTTTGTTTATTTTATTGGTCTTTCTTCATCTATATTGGTGAAAAAATGGTAACCTGCAGAAAAATTGCCAGATCCATCACTAGAGTGAAGGATATTTCAGGTTGAACTGAGTCAGCACCTGATACTCTACGAATCTTTGACATGCCATTACGACCGCCATATTGGTTACTAGAAACGGCATTAAACTTTTCATCTCTGGAAACATTGTCTATTCGTTCTACTCGTTCTGTGCACCAGGCCGTTATAATGGATACTTCCAATAGACCATTTTACAGTTGTGTACTTACTTTCCAAGCCTTTTATTAGGAGTGCCTCACTCCTGTTGAAAGGCTTGGCACTCAAGCACGCAACTGTAAGTTGAACTATTGCTTGCTGTTGTGCAGGCATAAGTGGTTACCCGCTCTGAAAGAGCAAAAGCACTTTCTCATCCTTCGTAATGTGTTCTATTTTAATGAAAACGTTCACGGCGGCAGTAGTTCCCAAGTCACACTATAAACTCTATGTTTCTTGAGAAGATTTTTGCCCAAGTGTATTTCAGCGGAATGCTCTCAAAAGACACTCGTACTAAATTTGAAGACAACAATAGTCTAAGGACGCATATAGGAAAAATCGGCCGCACCACCATGATCAAGGAACATTTTAGCAGAATACGTTCGAACCTAAGAAAATCCCAACTCTTTCTTCAGATAAAGTACTGTGATGATCTTGGTATTCCGCCAGACAAAAGCTCCCTGCTGTATCTATTTATGGGCGTATTTGCCACCGTAGGACGTCTTGGTGGAGGATTTTTGTGTAATTTGAGGTTCACGAAGGCCCGATTTCTCCATTAAGCTGGGACATTTGTTGTTGGAGCGTCTACAATGCAACTTCCCTTGGCAACTACTTATACTAGACTGGTTGCCTTTGTTATTATCTTCAGTGTCGCAGATGGAATCATGATAACAAGTATAATTATAGAATGTTTGGAATCCGTTGGAAATCGAAAAGGGCCTCACGCGGCGTATGGACTTTTGATTGGTTGTGGGTGGATTTGCTTTGGGTAGCCCACCTTATCAGGTATATTTAACAAATCGACAGTAATTGAGCGTAGTCTGTGACCAATATCACTGTCGATAAGAGTACAGACCATGCTAAACCACTATCGATTTTTGTTTTACTACAATAACGACGTCAAAATTTTGAGTCATCCATGCATGTTTACGAGGTGATAAAGGCATTGCTTGACCCGTTAACGCGAGCAGCGTTACGTTGTCTGAACTCTTATCAACAACGCAAAATTTTCCAAAAGACACTCGTACTAAATTTGAAGACAACAATAGTCTAAGGAAGCATATAGGAAAAATCAGCCGCACCACCATGATCAAGGAACATTTTAGCAGAATACGTTCGAACCTAAGAAAATCCCAACTCTTTCTTCAGATAAATTAGACTCTCTTTCTTCAGATAGCGTCATCATTGTAAATTGAGATTAAAAAAAATTATATAGATTAGAGACATAAAAAGCTTAAAATGCTGTAATGTTATAACTTCGGTTTATTCATTTGGAGAACTCAGGATACTTAGAGCTATACCATTGAAAGAGCTTAGCCCCCATTTATCCACTCGTGCGTTTATCGTTTCCCTATCGATGACCTCACTCCAAGCATCCCTTGGAAAAAAAAAACAGATCTCACCATCTCGAACCCAGGAAATGATATCTATAGCTTCCCGTCTGTTTTCCGTCATTTGCCATGGTATCACTGTAATCAACGAGAGCCTTCCTTAAAACTAAACTCCTCTCCCCCCTTCCCCTCATGTTCCCAACGGTTTCTCGATTCCCGTCTATGACGTTCTTAAGATTCCTTTAACGGTTTATGGAAAAACCAGAAGCCTGCCGTGATTGTGGCCTCCCTGAAATACATGTTGTGGTATGACTTTTTCAAAATAGTTTTAAGGAAATCGGTCAGATTAGGCCATCTTCTGTTCAGATATGCAACGTACTGTCATCAAATGCAACTGTCGATGTTTTGTTATCAGTATTTCAGGGTTCCAGATAAGTTTGGTAACTACTTTGCTGCATTCATGATGACTTCGAAGAGACAGCACGCCTAGGAAAAATAGAGATTGTGGACGACACCGAACTGAAGTCCACGAGTTGCTCTCGAGACTCATTATCTACGGTTGGTAAAGATCGTCTAAGGTCTTCCTCATTTGCTATAGCCATGGATAGTCCAATATTTTAGTGAGAAAGGATCTTCCTTTTTTTTGTGTGTCAATGAGTTTTTTCAAAGTGGACTAGACTTAGCACATCTTGTACTTTAACTCTTTAACTCCCAGAAGTGATTAGCATGTAACTTTGCCCTATAATATCCATACATTATTCAACAAACAGGTAATGAAAATACTCGAACTTAGCAGGTAGAAGTTGTTATCTTGATCTATTATCAGATTCTCAGAACCAATTTGCAAAAAAAATGTTTAGCAGGTAGAGGGGAGCATTAACAATCCGCAGATCTTCGGGGTGAAAGGGTTCATGCGTATGAAGATTGGCATGCTAATAACAACTATAGAATGATAACCGCTAATTACTACATGAGGGCTAAAAACGTTAAAAGAGGCGAGGGGCACAAGAAACGGCGTGTTTCACTCTTCTCCCTTTAAAATACGCGATTTAGATGCCATATTACTGATCTAAGGTAACGAGAAAATGATTATGTCAGATTAGAATGGACAAAAGATTAACTCTGTGCTGTTTTGTGTGCGGCGCTGACTAAAAACGAGAGAGTTATCCAGCGGTAAACAAACGTTTAATTTGAATAGGTTAGAATTCCGTAAAGAATGCTTCACCGTAAGTGTAACATCGCATATTGCTCTGTTCCTTCATTGGTTCCTTCAATGACTGACAAAGCTAATTGCTTTGTTTACGACTAAAGAGATATACTTTTAAGTCCCTTTGAAATTAACCTTTTCCGCTGAAAGTGGCTTTGCATTACTTTACTCCAAAGTAAACAAATTTAAAAACGGTTGGAAGGTTTAAGTGCAAAACTTCTTCTAGGAGAATAACATGATGCTGAACAAAAATTTAATTCAAAAGTAGCAATCGAGAAAAATTGCGAAGAGGATTTGATTTATACTTGGGAATTATTTATGGACTAAAACTTTGTTATAAGTCAAATATAAGGTCTCTCAAATATGTAAATGCGTCATTATCTTGGTAATCCGACTTAAGTATGTTTTGGCCCAACAAAATGACTCAGCAGAGAAATTAATTTTCGCCGACTAAAGGGACATTTGTTTTAGTTCACAAGTTATTTAATGGCATGTTCTGCAATTGGGAATTCTTATTTGATACAAGACCAGATTGCCACCATCGTTCCATGCTTGCAGAAGCTCAACTGCGACGCTAGCCAGGCATGTTGGACAAATAATTATGATGGGCCATTTCCAATTGGAATAAAATGGGATCACTCAAAACACTTTTAAAATCGTTTTGTTTATTTAGGTGCGACGCCCTCAAATTGATTGCGTCTTGGTATGTAACAAAAATGTCCTATAATTTCTGAAAAACTCTTTACTAATATATACAAGTCAAATAACAGTGTAAATTTTGTTTTTGCCTCTTATGTTGTATAACTTCTGTTTCTCGTGCCATTGAATTCTGGAAAGAAATGAATATGATTCTCTTCCGGTTGTTTCGGTATACCTTGATGATACACCGTCTCTAAATAGTCACAAGCGAGCTTATTTGCCCATGAAGTAGGCAGACTATTCTCTAGGAATCCACAATGGCCTCCTTGCTCTGTAGTCACCAGGAATAAATTAGAAGAAGTCTTAAAAAGGCTAAACGGTATTGTATCTTTTGTACAAATCGGATCATCGAGAGCACTAATGCAAAGTACTGGTATGTGAATGTTGGTGATACTACGCATAGGGTCATTGTATTTCCAATACTCCGTTAAGGAGTTGTACTGGTTTAGTTTGACATAAACCCGCTCATCCAGCTCTTTTATGCTCGAACTCTGAAGTGCAAGGTTATAGTTTATCACATTTCCCAAGCAAGGATGCTGGCGAAGAACACATTTGAGTTTGAACGTCCAAAGCCAATTGTACGGCTCTGGAACATTGTTTGATTTAAACAACCCTTCGGCATCGTAACAAGGTGAAATACAAACTGCAGCATTCAATTGCGATGCATTGCCCACCTCTCCGAGGTATGACATTAGCAGTCCTGAACCTGAAGAAAAACCAATGGCAAAGATTTCCGAATAAGGATACATATGATGTATAAATTGAATAGCTTCTTCCAAATCACGTGCGTCCCCGAAGCTTTGCAATCGATATGTTGATAATGCGGCACCACCGTGACCTCGTCTGTTGAAGACCACCGGGCGAAATTTTCGCGCCAGAACCTCCGTGCAGACCGCGGCCATGTCGGCGGCAGTACCGGTCAGGTCAGGAATAAGAAGCATCACCGGACTCACTTTTTTCATTGTTGTCTCGTCTACTTCCATCCAGTCCAATGCTATGACTCCTTTGTCCGCCATTTGTAAATATTCGCGCTTAAACTCCAATTCCTCCTGCCACCAAGGCCAAACCCACGGTAGTAACGTCTGAAGGTGACAATTTCTGGCCCAAAATGTCGGCTTATAATCTTCATTCAAGCGTTTGCAGCCTTTTTTAATGACCACACTTATTCGTGACTTCTTATAATATAGACACGGTTTAAAATCCTGTTTGTCTTGGAAAAATCGAACGCATATTAAAGTTATAACAACGGCAAGGACCAGTAAAATGGCAGATAAGCACATTTTTAAGCGTATGAATGCCAACGAGATCGTTGACTTGTACGTCTGCCTGTTGCAGAAATGCTGAGGGCTTCTCGGTGCCTTGTTATCCAGAATTCACAATAAGCTTAAGATTGTCTGTTGTAGTTTTCAGATACTTCTAAACATCTGGGAATGTGTACATTTGTAGCGGGCGTAATCTGTCAATACAAAATAATCAAACTGATGTTAGCAGAAGTCAGCGTTGTGTCTTAGTTGTCTACTGATCATAAGAAGCTAAAAAACGGCTGGTATGCAAATGTAAATCTTTCTATCTCGCACGATCTTGTTCGATTGCAGTTTCTTATCGCATATATATCTGGCAATGCGATCGGCCCCGGCGACATTCTTTATTCTGATCTGAGAGCGAACTATTGTCGGCGGCCCTTTCACCTCCGGTCGAATTTGAATTTAAACTAAAAATTGCGCTTAAATCGAGTCGAAAAATCTCCTCAAAAATCTGTCGTGTCTTTTAGAAAAAAAAAAAAATGAGTACATCTGATTTTTACCTGGTTTTGCATGCATGATTAAACTAGGATGGGCTTGCTTTTCTGAGGTCAGTTTTGTTTATAGCCTCCAGTACATAGATGCATCACTTAATTGACAAGACGGCACAGCATCGACCGCAGAGATCACTTCTTTAAATTTGCTTTCCGTAAATCTAAAACAAAATAGAATTTGAAATGAAAGTTCTACCTCGACGAGAAAGGCATTGAAAGGGTCGCCGAAGCCTGGTGAGAATTATCAACAGAGGTTTTTGTGCTATGGCGTCCGCCTGTCAGACTTCATCAGTTGTTGTGTTTTGAAAGAAAATTGCTATCATCAAACACAAGCGGCTAAGAGATAAAACAACTATACATAAATACCTCAGCCTCGACGTGCCATAAGTAGAGTAGAATGTTGTTCAAACTAGGAGGGGAATCTAATCGCGCAATACTCTCTGTCTAGTACATGAACAATTCAATTCGGCGCTTCTTTCGTGTTGCCCACATTATTATGTTTAATATGCAAAAACCAAAGTATGTACTCAATAAAGACAAAAGTGACGTGATCATATGAAGGATCCTGCAAGACGTGTTTGTTTTAGGAGACAGAATGCACTCGTATTTTCCATCTTGTTTATTCGTCACTGTTCTGCAAGACAGAACATTTCAGAACGTTTAACGCTTTGCCCAATCATATATTTCCCAGTTAAAGAAAAATCATTTAAAAAGGCAAAGACCGGATATTCGTTGACGCAATTAATATGGCTGTCAAGGAAATTATGCGAGTGATCTTGAGCTGTGGTGAAGAACTGCAGTTTTGTAAGAAATTTCGCCTGGTTTAACGCTGAGATTTGAATTCTTTGACTCAAAGAGTAAATTTCACCTTCAGTGCAATTTTCAAAACAGCTGCGCGAGTTCTACGACAGATTTTCAATTCTAACCACCGTTTGTTGTTATTCTTTCTCCCAATGCCGAAATTGGTATAAATAACCTTTGTCACTTCCAATTAAAGGGGCTATTTTGATTACGAAAGCAAAGAACTTCCATTATGGACCAAGATTAAATATCACTTAGTTCAATGCTACATTTTCTCGGTTTAATGTCTTCAAAAAAATCCGCAAACAGCACTGGCGACAGAAAATCTGATTGGAGAAGTATCAAGTGAACGCCAACAGGAAAAAAAATATTCCCATTGCGTAGTTAATGTACCAAAATGCTCGATGTTTGTGTTTCCTTAATGATAAAAATACTCAGTTTGAGTTAAAGAGAACGCTTTGAAATATGTGTCAAAACTAATTACTTTATTCTATGGCTTTCAAAATGCGGCAAATTGGAATTGAGGAAATCTGAATAACTGTTTATAACTTCTAGCTCCATTACTACTTTTAAACATGAAAGCAACGTTTTTTTCCGACACCTTTTTCGTAAAATGTCTCCCACAATTTCTCTGCTTGTCTTGTTCTCATAATTTATTCTACGGTCCAAGTGCGTCAGTGACGCCTGAGAAGAGAATATTTTTCAAAGAAACTGGGATGTATTTCACTGATCGACCGCTGGTCAATGTTTGCGGGGCCTTATCGATATTCTTTTCACTGAACGTCAATCTGGAGTACGCTCGGCTAAATTTCAAAAAGTGTAGCCTTTCTAAGAATTCTAAATTTGTTAGTATATACAGCTACATCAAAGCCATCCTAAACGCAACTCATAAGGTTTCCTTTTAGTCCTAAATGGTGTTTGCCATCATAAAACACAATTTGTTTTCTCACGTAAGGTTTGAGGAGAACACTGACTTACACCTACGCCGGCTAGACTGATTTCACTTAACCTCTCCAGTTGCACGAATAATTAACGAAACAATTCGAAATTATCACAATCTGGTAGAAGAAGTTTTTTTTTTAAGCATGAATCGATCAATCACTTATTCCTTCAATTCCAGCCGAGAAAAAAAAAGTGAAAGTTACTTTATAACCTGCTTATCTTATCTTATCGGCAACAGCCCACTAAAGTAGTATGTTAACTATAAATAATACCAATCTTATTGGGGTTGGCGGGTGGTCTGATCGAGACGTCGCGACTGACTTTTTTTTTCCTTTTTTTTTCTCTGAACCGAAATCTTGCCGATATAATTGCGTCAAAGAAACCCGCAACCAAGACTTCAATGCTTTTTAAAAAACATGTGTTCTAGTGCCTGCGTCACTTGAGCGATTCATAAAAGCCTTCAAAGCTTAGCTCTAAGTAAAGTTCTCTCGACTTTGCATCTCAGAGTTTGATTTTTTACCCAGCAATTTCCTGGTTTTTCGATTTTTCGGTTTTTTTCGTGACAGAATATTATGTGAGACAGTTTTGCTCAAATTAAGAATAAGCAGAAAGTGTAGTGATCGAGACTCCTATGCGAAAGGACTCAGTCAAACGAAACAAAACAAAAATAAACCAGACTTTGAGACCTTTTTAAGACCAACACTTAAGGTCTCAAAACAAGTGAGAAGAATATGCTACCTTTCTACAACACCAAGAAATGGTTAGATATTCTAGTCTTATCGGATAGGGACGAATAAATGGAGGTCCCGTCTCCTGCAGGGCTAGGGGTAGGAGACGTTAATTTCCCATGCACGAGATCACTGTGTGATAGATGTCCTCCCCTGGGGTGGTTGCTGGGTGGGAATTGGCCCTGAAAAGCCCCCATGGGGAGTGGTCAATTAATATATGTATGTATGTATGTATGTATGTATGTATGTATGTATGTATGTATGTATGTACCTTTTAAATTTGACGAAGAAATTGGGAGAAATTTTCTATTTTTTTTGTGAAGAGCTTTCGTCATCCCAATCATTTGCGGTCCAAACTTTATTTCCACAAAACTTTGGAACACTTACCCAAGTTTATAGGGAGTTTAAGAAAGCTACGACGGAAACTGCAACGGGAACGACACCAAACAAAAGGTTTAATCAGCAGAACGGCGTTATAAATCTTTGTAGATTTCTTTGCGCTCTCTGCAAAACAGCAGCATCAAATGACCAAACTTTGCGTTGTCTGGAGACCGTGAACGTCGACCGCTGATTTTTAAATTTCTTTTTCTTATTTAAGGCTGTGTCCCAATTTCAGTTTCGATAAAGTTTTGACCGTGAGAAACAAACTAAATGACTTTAGTTTCACCTACGGGACTCGTAGGTAAGATATAAATTTAATTTTTAAGCGACTTTGTCCACCGCGTCGCCGTCGTCCTTTCCTAAACTCCCTTATGTAAAATTACGGACTGGTTCATAAAGAAATTGAGAACATTAGCACGCAATAATGTGATTTGTTGCACCCGATAGTTGAAGAAAAGGAATTCCTAATTGGGTCTCTAATTGGCACACCAAGGTAGGAACTACCCCCCCACCCCACCCCCCGTAACGTACACCGATGTGGTCTGCAAAATCTGATTCTGGTATTATGTCAGAATAAGTCTCTGAGACGCACGCAAATTTATAACTCCCGTGATATCCGTTTAAAACTGACAAGGACTATACAGGCAAGACAGCATAATAAGTCATTATTTTCTCTTGATATTGGACCAGAAAATTAGCAGTGAATGTTTCTCAATTCATTGAGAGAGGAGAGTTGTGTTCAGATACATTTTTTTATTGATGGTAAATGTAGGCTTTTAGAATATTTGAAAAAAATTGTTTGAATTTCGCTAAGGGCCTAACAAGTCAGGTTGAACGATAATCTGCTGAACACAATATTCAGAGATGAAAACAAACATTAATAAAATTCATTTCTACTCCAATCTGTCTCCAATGTTATAAATTAAAATAATTGGATAAGAACAGCAGAAATCAATTTTGATTCCCAAATTACTAAAATAAAAATAACCCGTGAAAACTCGCTACGCATTTTCCAATCTTTTAATTTCAAACCTCGCTTTACGGCCTTTTTGACGCAGTAATACAAAACAAAAATTGGAAAGGTTCAAAACCCAAAAGAAACATCATTTTTCAAATGCAAATTTCTTCCCCCCCCCCCCCTCTTGCATAAACACCGTGGTTGCAAGAAGACAGATAACCTCTGAAGTAGTAAATTTTCAAACAACAAGTTACCTTTGTGTGTGGTGTTTCTTTGTCATAAATAGCCTTTTGTTAGAAATGGAGATAAAGTCCATTTAATAGCTTTTTTAACGATGAGGTTGTTGTGTATACGAACAGATAAATCACCTGCCTGATTGAGTTTCTGTATATAGTGATATTTTTTTCGGAATCGCGCTGCAAGAGCGAGAGGGATTTGACAGAAACACTCGCACAGAATACATCTCCTAATTCTAAATGTCGTGAATACCTCGCTCCGCCTGCACGCGGGTTATTTGACAAACGTCCCCTTGAATTTTAGATTTTTTGAATCGAAAAAAAGCGTCTTATTTCGAAGGTAATTTTAATGTATGTACACCTGTCAACGAGAAATTATCCCACACGGCTAAAAGCCCAATAAACCAAGAACAGAAAAATTGGAATATGCAATTTGAGTTTCATGGTTCACAGTACACGGATCAACTTGAGCCGAAAAATCCGCTAAATAGAGTGTTTATCCTTCGAAAAACAAGCGCTATTTCAAAGCTGTGTTTGATCGAAGACTTTCTTTATGATAATGATCATTGTTACCTCGTAAAGGCCTCCAGATTTAAAATGCAAAATAGTTTATTAGTTTCGGTAAGAATATTGTAATTTTTTCAATTTTCTTTTCCGCTGAGGGAGCTTCAGTGCTTTTCGCTGTCGGTAGTTCAAACCGCTCGTCTCGGACACCAATAAAAGTCGAGAATTCGTCATTTTAGAGTCTCCTCACAGGAGATATTTAAAATCATCTCGACTAAGTTTTTTCATGGTGAGCAGTACCCAAGCAATTAAGTTATTATTCTTTATATTAGCCCCGTTCTACGCAATCGGATGAAGTGAAAAGACCGCAGTCATTTTTCGGTCAAACGGGCGATTTAGCTCTGAGGCCCATGCGAAAACATACAAATTTACACTATGACCATTTTATGCCAGAAGCGGATTAAAAAAAATGATAACAATGAAGTCAACCTTCGACTTCACTAGCTGAAAAAACATTATGTTTCAAATATCAAATGTATATCTGATGAATCTGCGTGTGTTACTTTCAAGAAAAACCTTAATTGTTTTCTTGTTTCGACCCATCTCACTTTCGTATTTTTCTTAAAAATTATTCCTTGTAGGAAAATTATTCTGGAGGTTTCGTTGGTGTAAAACAGAAAACGTTATTCTCATATCGAAGTTATTTTGTGCACTTGGGGATTGAAGAAGAGAGCAAATAGATTTTTGTTTTCGTTGGCTTAAGTAAAGCAAATGAATTTTGCTTACCTTCTTTGAGGCCTTTAGGAAAGATAATTTTTTTCGTTGGTATCTTTCGACGAAATTTGATATTCGCGTCTCAAAATCAACAGAATCTAGTAGCAGATGTGGACCATCGCGGTGATGAAATGCCTTAATGGGTTTCGGGAAGGTTTGTTTGGCCGTCAAAGCAAAGCACGGGTTCTCAAAGTTACTTGAAAGCTTCCACTAACAAAATAATACAAATATGCAAATAGCTGGCAACAGGACGGCATGAGTTGATAGGAGTAACGGAAAAGAACCCCTATTTGTCAACAAAGCCGCCTTCAGCCAATGACGCTGCAGTATTATCTATTTTCAGAGACT